TCCATTTAACAAAACTCAAAATCATAAAAAAAAAAAAAAAGACGAGGCTTACTGGTTTGATAGAGACTGGTAAAACCCCCAAGACTATGGGCTGTCATCACCCTTTGGGTCTGGAATTGAACTCACTTTTATGGCTTCTAGCCAAACAATAGACAGGCAGATAAGGTGAACATTTACACCAGGTAGGTACATGTTTTGGTTACCTAGTGCTGCTCTAACAGGAATATACCACAAATGGGTGTCTTTACCAAACAGGAGTTTGTTCTCTTACAGTTTTAGAGGCTAGAAGTCCAAGTTCAAACTGCCAGGCTATAGGGGCTGGGTAAAAGCCCCTCAACCTTGGGCTTCAGCTCTGCCTCTTGCTCCCGGCCCACTGAAGCTGAAGGCTTTCTTCACTCAGGCAGCTCCTGGCTGCTGAGGCTGACAAACCCAAGGTTGACAAGTAAAAAGGCTCAATCCTGATATTACCAAACCAGAAGGCAGGCCATTGATTCAAGTCCATTAAGAGTCCCAAGATTGGTAGACAACATGGCAGGATGCCAAACGACGACTTGGCTACGTGCAGGACTGAAGGGTGCCAAAAGCTACAGACCATACCTAAAGCTTCTCCTTATATTCTGGGAGCATACCATATCCCTAAGGCAGCTACTCACCTGCTCACAGTAGATTCCATCATGGAGTTGATTGCCAGTCTCAAAATGGGGAATGCTACCACCATCTGCCCAGCCACTCAAAACCAGGCCCAGGCAAGTTGACTCTAACCTTATTACCACAGTACACTCCTTAGAACAATCAACCATGGGAGATCAGAAAGGGAGTATTTGCACAGGGAGATAGTTCAGGGGGCAGAAATGCATAGGAAAGAAGGACACAGGGAAAAGGTAACCAAAGGAGGATGTAACAAGAGAGCTGTTACATGATGGGGATTGCAATCAATGCCATTGAAACAAAATATGTAAAACCCCTGATTTATTTTAGGCATTTGTTTCTTTATGTGTTCATTTGATCTCTTTCCAAGTGCTTGGCAGTGGTAGCCAGGCATCAACTATTTCTTCTGGTCTCAGTGTTTATTGTGCTCATTTTATTGTGCTTCACAGATACTGTTTTTTACAAATTGAAAGATTGTGGCAACCCTGCATCCAGCAAGTTTATCAGCGCCATTTTTACAACAGCATGTTCTCACTTTGTGTGTCTGTCACATTTTGCTAATTCTCACTATATTTCAAGGTTTTTCGTGATTTTACACTTAATAGACTACAGTATAGCATAGAATAACTTTAATATACACTGGTAAACCAAAAAATTGTTTGAATTGCTTTATTGCAATATTTGCTTTATTGCTGTTGTCTGCAACTGAACACACAGTATCTCCAAGGTATGCTTTACCTTTTTATATTCCTGCTTTCAATTCCTTTGTGTGTATACCCAGAACTGGAATTGTTGGATCTTACAGTATCTTTTTTCTTTTCTTTTTTTTAAGAGTAGCAAAGTCTTAAATAAAACTTGTTGGTTTAATTCAACATTGTTTGGAATCTTTGGCAAATGAAAGGTTTTATGATTTTATATTATTTATTTGGATCAGAGTCATAGTGACCCCTCTTTGGGTTTCCAAGGGGATATTGCTATGGAAGTAGATTGCTGAACCTTCCTTCCAAGGAGTGGCTAGTGGGTTTGAACCACCAGCCTTCTGGTTAGCAGTCAGATGCCTTAGGCACTACGCCACCAGAGCTCCCTAGCAAATAATAGTTCACATCAAAAGTATAATACCTGAATACATCTCATTTTGGAAGAATGTAATTTTTTTTTTAATTTACCAAATTGTTTATTGACTTGTAACTAAGTCATGCTAAACTGCCACTGAAATTGTTCACTTTATTATTTTTTTGTGTGTGTGATTTGAGTGAAAGTCTGTAGAGCAATTTCATTTTCCATATAATAGTTCATACACATTTTGTTTCATGACATTGATTGCAATCCCCATCACATCACAGCTCTCTTCCCATTTCTTCTGTGGTTATATTTTCACTGTGTCCTTCTTTCTTACCCTCTGAGCTATCTCCCTGTGCAAATACTGCCTTTCTGATCTCCCATGGTTGATCTAAGGAGTGTCACCTATCTGGTGTAATGTTTATCTTATCCACGTGTCTATTGTTTGGCTGGAAGCCATGGAAGTGAGTTCAGTTCAAGGCCCAAAGGGTGTCTAGGGGCCATAATCTTAGGGGTTTCACCAGTCTGGTCTTTTTTATGGTTTTGAGTTTTGTTCCACATTTTTTCCCCCACTCTCCAGGTTTCCTGTTTCGATCCCTTTCTGAGTAGTTGACAGTGGTAGCCGGTCACCATCTAGTTCTTCTGGTCTCAGGGTCATGTAGGCTGAGGTTCGCATGTTCCACTCGTCCCTTGGACTAATTGTTTCCATGCATCTTTGGATTTCATCATTCTTCTTTGCTCTGGACAAGGAGAGACCAATTGTTGCATTTTAGATGTCCACTTGCAAGCCTTTAGGACCCAGTCTCTACTTCCACAGTAGAATGTAGAACAATATTTTTGTGTAGTATGTTATTCCAATTGGGCCTGTGGGCCCAGTGACTCAGTCCCTCTGGGTATTTGGCTGGGTCTAAGAAGTTGTCCTAACTCTGCTCCGTTATTGTTAGGTGCCGTCGAGTCAGCTCTAACTCATAGCGACCCTATGTACAACAGAACAAAATACTGTCCTGTCCTATGCCATCCTCACAATCTTTGCTATATTTGAACCCATCATTGCAGCCACTGTGTCAGTCCATCTTGACCTTTTACCTTGCCAAGCATGATATCCTTTTCCAGGATATCATGATAACGTGACCAAAGTAGGGGAAACGATGTCTGGCCGTTCTCACTTCCGAGGAACAAGGATAGGGCTATCCACTTCTTAAAAAACTGGTAACTGAAAACCTTATAAAATAGCAGCAAAACATTGTCTGATACATTACTGGAAAACTCTATGAAGAGCCGTGAAACATTGCCCCTTTAGCTCTATTATATATGTGGACTCTCTTATAGCACATACAAATAAGTATGTAGAAATATTATCTGCCACATTTATAGAGATCATGGGTATATTTCCTTTTGCCTAGATGTACCTGATCATTTAGCCTGTGTACCTAATGTATCCACTATAGGAAGAATGCAATTATAAGACTAATTATTTATCATCAGGCCAATACCAAATTTTATTTTTAAATCTCTTACTTTTTCTGTGTATCTGTTAGTCAGTCTTATTTTTAAGTAAATTGCCTATTTAAATGGAATTTTAAATACCAAATGAGTTTATTAATAGTATATTCCTTTTGTCTTTTTTAGATGGTGTTGTCTGAAAAGGTTAGTCAGCTGATGGAATGGACCAGTAAAAGACCTGTAATAAGAATGAATGGAGACAAGTTCCGTCGCCTTGTTAAAGCCCCACCAAGAAACTACTCCGTTATTGTCATGTTCACTGCTCTCCAACTTCATAGACAGTGTATTGTATGCAAGTATGAACTTTCAGCTATACTTTAAAATTAAATAACTCATAAAACAGAAGAACCAAATTAGTTAAGTGGATTCATCAATAATTAGTATGCATAGGCACTCTCGTGGTATAGCATTTAAGGCATTTGTCTGCTAAACTGAAAGGTCAGTGGTTCGAACCCACCAGTCACTCCACAGAAGAAAGATGAGGCAGTCTGCTTCTGTAAAGATTTACAGCCTTTGGAAACCCGGTGGGCCTAGCTATGAGTCAGAATCAAGTCTATGGCAATGAGTTTGGTTTTGGTTTTGACTTTACTCAAATGAAAAAAAAAAAACCCAATAGTAACACTTAATACTGTTTCTCTTTTATGGTCAATTCTTGGTTGTCTGTATTTGTTGTTGTGTGCTGTTAGGTCAATTATGACGCATAGTGACCCTATATGACAGAGTAGAAGTGCCTCATAACGTTCCCTAGCTGTAATTCTCAGGGCTTTGAACCAGTTCAATCATGGCTGACAAAGTAAAATTGGAACAAACCTGAATTTTTAAACTTTGGCTGAAGCAAAATGATACCTTTAACAGAAAACATTTAAGTCAAAGCCTTGGAATGGGAGGCTTGGAAGAGGCATAGTGAGCCCCATTAGGAGCCTGATGTGAGAAATTGGATTATTGCCAGGACTGTGGAGCGCATTCAAAGTGATGTCATTGGTTGCCATCTTCGAGTGGGTCACAACTGTTTTGGACTACTGGTGAAGAGATTTGGTTGCTATGCAACACGCATGTTGCACTTGTTTTTCAAGAGGAAGATTAAGTTTCTATCAGTGTATTGACCCATAATTTTCCCCTTCTTGTTATTGTTTCACCCACATTTTATATATTTGAGTCCATTCTGATTTCATCAGCCGTGACTAAATGAGGAAAAACTGGTTTGAAGCCCTGGTAAATTTTTGCAGGAGCAGATTGCCAGGTCTTTTTCTCCTGTGGAGCCACTGGAGGCTTTGAAGTGCTGACCTTTAGTGAGGGAAACAAAGAGCTTAGATAAGATATTGTGGTAGCTATCATAGGAATAATTTAAAAAATCAGATTTTTGCTTCAGCCAAATTATTTTATGAATTGGTATCCAGTTATATAAACATATGCCAATAGCATTGATATAGTGTTCTGTTATTTCTAAGTACTTTCAATTTCATATTCTTATTTTATCAAAACAATCCCAAAAGTTAGGTAAAGCAAATATTCCCCAATTTTTTGAAGAAATAGACTCCAAGAATTTAACTGGTATAGTCAAAGCTAGAGATACTTATTAATGGAATAATGGTGACTAACCTAAATTTGGATTATAAGAGAACAGAATTTTTTTTAAAAAAAGCAAAGATGCAGGATTTAGAAATTTTTCTTTTTTCTAGATTATTTTATAGTGAATGTGAGGCAGGAGAGGGAAATGAAGGAAACACTAACAATGCATCTTACAAACTTTCATGAAGCAGCAATTTACTGGTTTCATTTTACTGTTTCTGAATAAGCTTAGAAATAAAGATTTATTTTTCTTTAAACAAAAACACCATGGATAATTCAAAATAGCAGATATTAAAAAGAAAAACAGTTTTTACTTTTTACATGTGTTTTAATTTATACTTTTAGATTGGTATGTATCATCTGGGAATTCACTTTACATGAAATGACAAAACCAAGTTAGTAAGAACTTGGAGACTCTCCAAAACTGGCAGCCTGGGCAGTGGGAAAGAATTTACAGCCTTCTTTCAGAATAGTGTGTGATGCTATCCTAAGCCTTAGTAACCTTTTTCAAGGGATTTTCTCCCTGGAAGTGGGGATAGTTAAGGTGTTTGATTATAAAGTGCTTATTTTTTTGTGGGCATTTGCTGAGTATGAATCAAAAGTTTTTTTCTTGTTGTTTTGTTTTTTAATAAAAGTTAATAGAAGAAGGAAAAAGAATAATTGATATTAACTATGAATAAACTTAGTCTAGAATTACTCCCAATTCAGTCTATTCACTCATTAGCAATCAAGAATGTACAAAAATGTCAAGGAATAAGCACAAATTCCTTAATAATTTTATCTTAAGTACAAATTACTGGAATTCTTACTAAGTTGATTCCTTACTGATATCTTGGTGTCTTACATTCTATAACCAAACTTAAAATTAGTTTAGATATTCCTAAGCTCATTCACCACCTAAATTTACCAACTAAAAGTGACAGCAATGTGTGCAATACATTTGGTGTTGTTGAGATGAGAAGTGTATGAGGGATGCCCTACTCATATCTTATTTGGGAAATGAGTTATACACGTGACACTTTATCTGGCAATATAAGGCAATTTATGATTAAGTACCAAATGAAGTATATACATAATAAATATTATAAAATTTCAGGAAGGACATGTAACAAGAGTGGTTAAGATTGGCCTAATGGAAGAGAGAAAATTTGTGCTAGGCCTACACAAGATGCATCAGATTTAGATAGATGCAGGTTATTCTTGTTAGAAGCAACTATGTATGTGGTGGTACAGAGGCACTAGTAGACAGGGTTCTGAAATTAAGAGATCCTGTTTGAGATTGCTTAGTGGTGAGGCTTTATTTGGAGGTAGATGATTTAAAAAAAAGAAAACTTTAATAACCAGTGAAAGAGCTTTGAGACTTTAGTCTGAAGGTAATAGAAAAGCAGTAACAATTTCTGAGAAGAGCAAGGGTTTCAGGAAGTAGTCACTTAGGAAGACTGATCTATATTGTGGTGTAAGAAGGATTGGAGGGACAGAGAATAAAGTCAGTATTTTAATATCCTAATGTCATATATTAAGTATCTGACTTTAGATGATAACAGTGGAAATAAGCAGGAAGGAATGGAGTTAAAAGATAATCACAGATGAAGAATTTACACATCTTGAAACCAAAAGCACTTGGGAAATAAGGGAAAAGTCAAAGATGACTTGAGATTTTAATTAATTTGAATTCCCTAGACACTTATCTTTCACCTAGTAATTTGTTTGACTATATTTTAATTTACTAGGTAGTATGTGTGCTTTAGGTTTTTTTAAATTGATTAAAATTGTATTCCTACTTTCTCTGGGTGAAAACACTTCTATATTCTCTTTGAACTCTAAAAATAATTTAGAATATTAAAGACTGTTGCAGAGACAATTATCCAGATTTTCCAGTGACCACTAAAAGCTCTAGAATGGGTGTCTTAGTTATTTAGTGCTGCTATAACAGAAAGACAACAAATGGGTGGCTATAATTAACAAATTTATTTTCACACAGTTTTAAAAAGCCCACTGCTACCAAGTTGATTCTGACTCATGGAGACCCCTGTAGGGTTTCCAAGGTTGTAAATCTTTATGGAAGCAGACTGCCTCATCTTTCTCCCATGGAATGGCTGATGGGTTCTAACTGCTGACCTTTTGATTAGAAGCCCAATGCTTTAACCACTGTGCTACCAGAGATCATAGTTTAGGAAGCTACAAGCCTGAATTCAAAGTGCCTGCTCTGAGGAAAGAGTTTCTTTCTTTGTTGGCTCTGGAGGATGGTCCTTATCTCTTCAGCTTCTGCTTCCTGGATCCTTGAAGATCTTTGTGTGTCTAGGCATCTACCATACACCATCTCTCCTCTATTTACTCGTATAATCTCTTTTTTTATCTCAAAAGAGATCAGCTCAAGATAAGATTCTAGACTACTACTACTACTAATAGTAATAAAAACCTCACTGCCATCAGGACGATTCGACTCACAGCAACCACTCCTTGGGTTTCCGAGGCCCAATCTTCCTTCCGAGGAGTGGCTGGTGGGTTTGAACTGCCAGCCTTCTCGTTAGCAGTCACATGCCTTAGGCACTATACCACCAGAGCTGCCTACTGCCTCATTAATATAATAAAGACGACCTGTTCTCAAATGAGATTATAGCAGAGGGATAGAGGTTAAAATTTATAACACATACCTTGAGGGAACATAATTCAGTCCATAACAATGGGCAACAGGCACAGAGTATGAAGTGGAGTCATGTAATTACTACTTTCTGATAAAATCGCCAACACTTGAGCAAAGGTTTCTCTTTTGCCAAAGCAATGACTGTATCTCCCAAGGTTTATCCATAACTGTGTCAGACAAACATGATTTACTTGTCATTTTTATAAAATATTTTCCCCCACTGGAAAAACATTGCTATTGCTTATTTGGATCTATTTTACTGCTGATTTTAAGAAAAGATTGCTTTTAAAATTTGCTTTATATGCTGTGTTCAAAAATCTGATTGCATACAGGCAAGCTGATGAAGAATTCCAGATCCTGGCAAACTCCTGGCGATATTCCAGTGCCTTTACCAACAAGATATTTTTTGCTATGGTGGATTTTGATGAAGGCTCTGATGTATTTCAGATGGTAAGATCTTTGGTTTATTCTATTAATAGGAGTCGGTTAAATCTGGACAAAGTAGGATACAAAAAGTTAATACTACAGGTGTTATATAAGATCTGTAGTAGATGGTGAACTAAAAGGCAACCATGAGCTAACCATGAAATCTAAGTGTCAGTGCTAACCTGTTAGAATATAAAAATTGGATAGTATCTATCAAGTAGTTTTTCAAATCACAGTATGAATCCTACCATTATGCCACCAATATGTAATTTTGTGGTCACATTAAAGTACTTAATAGAACCAGGTACCTGTCTTTACCCCCTTGCCTCCTGTCTTTATTTGTTTATTTATATTGTAATTTGGGTGAAATTTTACAGAGCAAATTGACTTTCCATACAACAGTTCACATACACTTTGTCTCATGACATTGACCACATATCACAATGCAACAGCTTCCCTCCCACTTCCTTCCAATAGTTACCTCTTCCCTGTGTCCATCCCTTCATGCACTC